CAGGCCAGGGCTCAGGGAGGGGCTAGGGCAGACACAGAGCCCATCCAGCCGGGACAGCCCACATTCCTCAGTGGGCCTGGAGGGGGTGGGCATGCTCCACAGGAAGCCAAGCCCTTCACCAAGAGGGGCTCAGCCGCCATCTGTGCACACAGACAGTGGTGAGCAAAGAACCTCGGCCGGCCGGCAGAGTCAATTGCACAGAAGAAAATAGCAAACATTTTGCTTCCTCCTCCCCCGCTCTTGCCACACTCTGTTTCCAAAGGGAATGTGGGACACCCTGCTAAGTATTTTTCTCCAGACCGGGCCAGGCATCCAGAGTCGGCCTTGCTAAGTTGCTGAAGGGAGAAAAGTGTGTGTTTGCGTGGGGGTGGGGGAGAGTTTTCCCATCAGGAACTAGTTGGTTTTCTTCTGAGCCCTGCGCTCCTGCTGCTCAGCCCAGAAAAAAAAGAGCCGGGAGAAATGGGAACAACCAAAATCCAGCATCCCCTGTCACTTATACAGTGGATTTTGTCCATCCGTTACTTCATTTGCTCATTCCAACCACCCTGTGACATGGGAGTTCTTTTATCCCACTTTATAAATAAGCAAACCGAGGCTGGAAAGAGGGTATGCCCCTTGCTCACCACTCAAAGTTAATTGGCATGAAAACTGTTTCAGTGGCAGGTCTTTCCGCCAGCCCACACTGACTAGGACCAGGGTGGCTGACAGAGCCCGCCTGGCTTCCCTCAGCAGCAGCTGGCCTTGAGAGGCTTGAGTCAGTGTTCCAGTAACTTTTTCTCTCTGACCACGTGCTTGTTGAAGAGAATTTGAGAAATGCCCTCAAAACGAAAATTGAAATGACCTATAATCCCCCACTGAGAGAGAACCACTGCTGGCTAAAAGGATAGGTTTCTTGATGTTCTCTGTTTTGCGCGTATACGATCTGGAGGTCTCTTTTACATCCCCGAGATGGTACTGCACCTGCTCTGGGTCTTGGGGCACCCTCTAGCCCCCACCCATGGCCTCACGAGTGCTTCCTCTTCTCCCAAGCAGGCCTACTTGATTGCCACTTCCAGAGTGTCTTCTACATATTGCAGTTTCTGGTTCCCAGGGGTCCGTGCACGCATCCCATACTATTCCCTTCACCTCACCCCCATGTTTGTTCATTCAATCTCCTTTGCCTGAGATCTCTGGCCTCCCGCCTCCTTTCCGCCCTCCTCTCTGTCTGTCTCTGTCTCTCTCTATCGGCCATGTATACACATGGTTAAAAAATCGAATTAACAAAAACTTCAAAGGGACAAAGGGCATACATGCAATTAAAAGTGAGGCTCCTTCCCACCCCTGACCGCAGTACCTGTTTGTTGTGTATCTTTCCAGGGACACTCTAAGAACCAGTGGCATGGATGCGCTCGTGCCTTTTATGAACATGCATGGTGACTGTGCCCACACTTTCTGTGCCTCGCTCTTGTAACTTCTTGGCTTGTGGACACTCTTGCACTGCTGATAGCTGTGGAGCTGCCTCATGTGTCCTAAGGGCTGTGTAGTGAAGCATCTGTTGGTTGTGCCATCATTTATGTAACCAGGCCCTAGTGACGGACATTGAAATGCTTTCCAGTCTCTTGGTACTATAAACAACATGACAGTCAATATCTTTATACAAACAACCTTGTACTTTTGCTCAGGTAGGAGACATTCTACCGGAATTGCTGGGTCAGACAGTGTGTGGATTTTAAATGTTAATGCATTTTCCTAAAGGGGTTTTCAAACAAACCAAGGGCCCAGCCTTCCCTCCCTCCCTTGCTGTCTTTACCGGGCTAATGGCTGACCATGCTTTCCACGTGGCCCCACCCAGGATATCTCCAATGACCAGCCCCCTTCCCAGCACAGCCAGCCAGGATCTTTGCTCTCAGGTCACCATATGTTTGCCTCTACATAGTACTGTCTACAGAGAGGACAGAGGGTGAGAGGAGGGGAGGAAGAGGGGCACCAGGGCCTGCAGAGCCTGGGGTTGGGAGTGGGGCTTAGACACCTGATTGTGCCAGGCCTCCATGATCCGTGCTGGTTCTCCGAACACAACCCTTGCCCTGAACCCACCTTCGGGGAGAAACTCATCGTGTGGTCACCAAGTGTTGCTGAACAGTTGAGCCAAGCACTGGGTGCAAGGACTATAGAAGTGACTCAGACATAGATAGCCCCCTGGCCTGGCATGTGAACAGAGCTCTTTAAAGGATGGGTAGAACTGACAGGGCTGGAAAAGACATTCAGGTCAGAGGTGCAGGCACAAACATAGAAGGATCTAGCTGAAACAGAGGGTTAAGAGAAGGTAATGCCTTAAAGCCAGAAAAATCCTTACAATGGTTTGGCTGTCATGCCAGCTGGGGGACCACCTCAGGAAGTCGGGGTGCTCTCTCATGGTTTACGCTACAAATAAGTGACCCAAATGTGAGGCTACTTATTCTACAGTCAGGAATCAAGACCAGTAACTAAGAAGTATAGTGTGGTGGGTGGCATCTTCGATGAATAGGCCAAGCAGCCCACTCTGAAAAGTGACTGCTTCATGTGCAGCAGCCCCCCGGGCTCCAGGGGGCTGTTCTAGAACCATGGCTCCAGGCATCAGCCACATTCTGCACAGGAGCTTTTGGCCACCACCACCACTGTCATCACCACAGCAGCACAGGAGCAAACACTCTCTGACTTCCTCCCTGCACACTTAATGTACTGGACCCGAGTATCTGACGCTCTTAGCTGAGGTCCCAGGCCCAAGTCTGGGCTGCTCATGGCCTAGGGCCCACATGTCGTTCCTTGTGGGTGTCCCTAGTCCTGAGAGTCTCACCTGCAGCAGGACCATCTGCAGTGACAGGCTCCTCCAACACCAGCAGGGGGCTGCGGGTGACAGGGAGGGGTTCAGTTCCGAGGATTTACTAATTCTGACTCAAAATGAAATTAGGGCTACTGCTATGCAAGGTAGCAGGGAGGAAGATGACCGAGACCCATGGGTGCTCCTAACCTCTCTCTCATGTGCCCAGGACACAGCAAAGGTTAATACCAAGCTAAGCACCTCAACCCTGCCCAACATGTGCCCTCCAAGGTCGTCAACTTCGGAGTGTCCATGACAGCTGAGGGGCTGGCAGAAGGCCAAGGGGGAACACAGAATGGCTGTGGGGGACAAAGAAAAGGACCGTGGCTTCTACCTATGTTTCCATACTTGTAGTGACACAATAATAATTATCTTTCTTTTTTTAATTGAAAAATTTTTAATTTTACGTATTGTGTTAACAGTCATGGAAATACACTGACACTAAAAATATCAAGCGAATCAACTGTCCCCTTTCTTACTCCTTTTGCCCAATTCCCTGTCCCTTCCCAGAGGTTACCATTGCCATCGGTTAGGTATGTAGCCTTCCAGACACTTTTATGCATTTTCATATATAGTTTGGTTTGCAAGGTTTTATTTTACATAAAGACTGTGCATATCGCCCTACAATATGCTTTTTTTTAAAACTTAACATTATGTCTTGGAGATCCTTCCATATCAGCACATACAGGTTTTAACTGCTGCATCGTATGAATCCCAGACTGCCAAAGTACTGAAGTTGGGCTGAAGGATGTGCCCCTATTTACATTTTGAAAGATAGCTCTCCAACTGCTCCCCGCGAAGGCTGCTGAGGTTTACATTCACACCACCAGCAGGAGTGTTCCCATTTCTTCTCTTCCCAGCCCAAACTAGATATTATCACAAAGAAAAATGATTGCTTTCTGATGGACACAATATGTTTCATTGTTGTGTTAATTTTCATGTCACTGATTGCCAGCGAGGTTGAACATCAACAATATCCAGGCTGCTGGAGCCGAAAACAGCTCTCAGAAACGGTTGGGAGGAGCATAAATGAGTACACTTTAGAAAGCGGTTTGGCAATATCTAGTTTGGATGAAGATGCTTAAATTCTAAGACCCCAAAATTTGACCTCCAACCCTAAGACCCAGAAATTTCATCTCCATATACTTACCCCTAGAGAAACTCACATATGTGCACAGATACATCTGCCAAGTGTGTTCATTGCCACAAAATACTGGGAAGAACCTAAATGTCCACCAAGAGGGGAATGGATAAAATTGTGGTAATTCGTACGATTGAATATTTAGTGTACAGCAGTTAAAATGCATGAGCTAAATCAACATGAATCAAAATGGCTAAATCTCAAAAGTAATGTTGAGTGAAAAAAATCAAGTTGCAAAACAATACATACGATCTATCAATTACGTCTACTTAAACAACAGGAACATTCTACATCAGTTACAGATACACACACATATAAATATATATGTACACATATACAAACACACATATACATCTAAAAACATAGATGAGAAGTAAACACACCATTTCCTGGGTACTGCTTACCTCCGTGGAGGAGCGGAGGTAAATATGATGGGTGATGAACTTCTCTTGTGCCTAAAAAAGTCTCTTTATTAGAGAGAGAGAGAAAGAGAGAGAGATCTGAAGCCAATATGGCCAACACTAAGGCCTGTTCACTCTGCATGGGTGGGTGTCTCCACATTTTTCTATTCCTTTTGTGTCACCATGGTTAGGCATACAAATCCACACACCACTTAATATTTACCCATTCCCCCTGAAGGTTTTCTAAAAGGGGACTTTTCCTCCTTCACCCCTACACAGAGCTTGAATTTACTTCTACCGTTGTCCTTTATTTTTACTGTGCTTTCTTGTTTCTTTCCTTCCCATAGACTGACAGGGTATTCTCTCTTCCACCTTTGCCCCATAGTAGTTGATAATCATATGTTTTATTCCTACTTTTGGAAATCACCACCCTTAATTTTGTGCTGTTGTCAGAGTCAGCATTTCCAGTGAAACTGAAGTTTTTCTACTATTGCGAAAACCAAAAAATAAAAATAAATAAATAAGACAAAAAAGAAAACCTATGTCTGATGCAAATGTAAGGGATCCATTATAAAGTCACTTAGTACTACTGTTTTAGACAAAACCAGACGATTCCACTCTACCATGTAAAATCAAAAGAACTTTAATTAGCTTTTACGGCACTGCAATTACAGGAACATTAACCCATAACATGCAACGAAGTGGTGATGCCTTCTGGACATATTCAACAGATAAACTTGACATTACAATTAACAGCAACATAGTCTACCGAAGAAAACAAATGCAACTGATTTCAATGTTCAGGTTAGAAAATGGATATTCTTACTGCCATCTCAAGTAGCATTTCGAAAGTTTAGTTTTCCCTTCCTAGCCTCTAAAAGACAGTATGATTTTTAATGCGATCGTACACAACCATTTTCACATTGGAAATGATCACAAGAAATCAACAGGTGTAGTAGATTAATTGATTGGTTTCATTTCAATTGTTAACTTTGAGAGGGCTCCTGCAGTATTGTGGATTTCGGATGAGGAAAATCAGCAGACCAGGAGTAAAGAGCCTTGGTCTTACAGTGGGGGAGGGAACATGCAGCGGCACACAGGGCAGGTGCCCGACTTCTGAAGCCAGATGGACACGCAGGGCTTGTGGAAATAGTGGTGGCATGGGAGCTCGGTCGCCACCTCGCCCTTCACATATTCACTGCAACAGATGGGACAGCACATTTCTTGCCCCACTGCGCTGTGGTCTTCAGTGACCAGGATCTCGGGGAGAGTACTGATGCTCTCCTTGCTTGCCGGTGGGTTGGCCACTTCCACGTCCACCGCCAGAGACTCCAAGTGTGCAAGAGCCGTTTCCATTGCTTGGGCCAGGCGTTCTTCAAGTGCCATGTAGGTGAGGAACTGAGGATCCACGTAGGAAATGGCTTCGGCCACCCCCAACCCATCTGCAAAGCCATCAAAGAGGCTCCAATCCACTTCCAGGTCTTCACTCACACTAGAGTCATCTTCGAGGTTGTTGTTACCATCCAGCATGAAGACCCCAGGCTGCAGAAACTCTTGGCCGGAATCATTATCCCCGTCGCTGCCGCTCTCTTGTTCATTGTACTGGAGCCAAGGGACTTCTCCTTCTTCCGGAGACACCCGCTCCTCTTCCTGAAGAGGTGGTCCTCGAACTTCTTCAAGTTCATGGCTGCCAGCACTGGCACCAGCAGCAGGGCTGGCGCTGGCACTGCCATTCACTCTTGCTGGCTCAGGTTCGCGCTCTTCTTTCCCTGGCAGAGTCTCCCAGCTTTCACTACTGGACGACAGGTTTTGTTCCCGACTTCGATACTTCCGACGCAAAGCAGCAGTCCATTCTTTGTCACTGTCAGAATCTTCATCACAGTATTTGTAGTAATCATCGCTGTACGTCCAGAAGTCAGGGTCGGCCATGGTTCGTCGCCGCCGAGGCACCTTTTCAGGCTTCACTTGGTCTTTCCTGGCTTCCCTCTTATCTTCGGGGTACTTCGGCTCAGAGATGCCATTTGAACTCTCGCCTCTGCTTCTCCTTGCCAGGCCATCCGAGTGGCCTTCATCAGTGCTTGCAGTATCCCTCCACCTGGAAGTACTGTGTGGCACATCGTCATCATCATCAGTATCAAAAAATATTTTTGGTTTCACGCAGTTTGGACTGGCCGGGTTTCTGACTTTGGGCCTCACCACCGGTTCCTCTCCACCCTTTGGGGTGTTTTCCCCACCACCACAAATACTCACAGGAGCCCTGCTGAGACGTGCAGGTAAATTCTGCTCCCGTCTCTCCCTCTCCAGGCTGTCAACTTTTGCAGCCACCTTGCCTCCTGCAGCAGAGGTTTGAGAAGCCATGCCATTTTGCTGCAGGAAGTCAGCTCTGCTAGCAGCACCTCTGGCGACGGGGGCTGGCTCTAGCCTGCCAAGCTCCTCTCTCACATCACGGTTAAAACTACATGACTGGGGGGGCACCCCAACCAAAGGCCGTGCTCCTTTCTCTAGGTCATACAGCTTATCATCTTTAAACTTGCCACTTTTCCCTCTCCCTGACGCTAGCGCCACAGGCCCAGCCCCCTCCTCCTCATTCTCCTCTTCCCGGAGAGAGTCAATAGGGCCATAAGCCATTCCTCTTCTGCTACCCAGAGCCCTGGACTCTCTCAGCGGGTACCTGGAGTAGTCCTCATTATCAACATGCAGGCTGGTTCCTGAGTTCTCACTGTCATCCCAACGGCGACGAACGGTGGATAATGGCAATCGGCTCCTCTTGGCAGTTTGACTGGGGGCTGATCTGTGCATTGGGACTTCAGATGTCGTCTTTCTCTTGCTGAAAATCCTTTCCTGCTGGCTCGTGGATGGCCTGAAACTGACATAAACATGCCTTCTTCCATACTTCCTGCCTGTTATGGGACTGATACCCCTGCTGGCTTGAGCCATATGGCCTTGCTAGATTCCTGACCCATTGCTCTGACTTATAGGGTTTCCAATACAGCTGGGGCTCAAGTGGGAGGGTCCCCGCTCTCTGCACAGACTTTGGAGACGAGAAAGTCAAATCGGTTCAGATAAAGGAGCAGGTAGATTTATCTCCACTTCAGCAGGCAGGTAACAAAAAGAATAAGGGGCTTTAAAATTACTTTCACTTTCTTCTAAGGCCTGGAGTACCATTCCAGTGACTCGTCAGGTGTAGAACCAAAATGCATTTTTAATGTTGGCCAAATTATTACAAAACTGGGTTGGTAGGAAAGCCAGACTTAGGGGAGAATGTGACAGAAGATGGGGGTGACTGGACGCTTGAAAAGTGGGTGAAGTACTGTGGAATTGTGCCAGCATGGGAAGAGGCAGGACTGCTGTGGGCTTTTTTTTTCCATGGGGTGTCTGTGTTTTTCTGAGCTCTGCAGAAATACAGGAGTATTGAAAATTGGAATAGGGTGGAAAATACAGATCACCGTGTGTGCATTGAGTGCTTACGTATCTGTTAGGAGGAGAGGAGCAGGTGGATGGGGAACTAGCAATCATGCAATGGAGACATGCCTGTGTTTGTAGGGGGAGGGGCAAGTGACAGTGGCATCGGGAAAAGGTGTGAGCGTGAACAGAATGGGACCCATTTTGGATATGGCGACCAAAATGACAGGTGTCAGTGGGGTGGCTTCTGAGGAGAGGGACGTGTGTAAGTATGAAAGAGAATGTGTGTTGGCTAGAACTCTGTGGAGGGACGCGTGGGTTTATGTGTCTCTGGCAGGGGAGGAAGTGGTATAGTAGCCCTGGGCTATCCATGACTTTGTGTGTATTCGTCAAAATGGGAGGCAACAATGGAGAAATGTCAGTGTGAGCAAATGTGTAGATGGAGGACAGCCTTGGGGACGGATGTGCATGTGGCTGGTGGGTGGGTGGAATGGGCCAGCAATCAAAGAACGTCTGTATGCATAAATGTGGCTAGCAGGGAGGGGGTGGTGTCCTCGGAGAAGGATTTCTGTGAGTGTGAGTATGTGCAGGGACCAGCAAAGGAGAGCTGTCTAAGCACAGATGTGGCAGACAGGAGAGGGGACCAGTGAGGAGCGGGTGTGTGAGTGTGTACGTCAGGAGCATCTGTATGGAAGGGGCAGTGGAGCCAGCAGTTCACGGATATCCTTAAAAGTACGTGTGGCGGGTGGAGGTTCCGTGGTCCTGCAGGGTCAGGGTGTGTGTGTGTGTGTCTGTGTGTGTGTGCGTGTGTGTCTATGCATGTATCTGTGCAGGTATGTATCTGGCGAATGGCACTGAAGGGTGTGACAGTCTGTGCGTGCGTGTCTATGAATGCGTGGGGGAGGGGACGTGGAGGAACCTCGGAGGGGCAAGGAAGGGGCTTCAATGGAAGGTTTCTGTTTGTGCGTGCGCGAGTGTGTATGTGCCTGCGTGCGTGCGTGTGTGTCCCCACACACGCGCCCGTGAGACATGAGGAGGAGTGACAGCAGAAGGGAGAGGGGGAGACATGGGGAGGGGACCCACAATGCCATAATACGAGACAAAAAAAAAACACGTTATCGGCTCAAACGGCAGATCCAAACCAATGTGGAAGGGGATAAAAGAAAGAAAAGGGTGTGTAGGGCTATATTTTCTCCTTGGGAATTTGTTTTTTGGTTTTTTTTTTCCTGAAACGATTCTTTTCATGGGAACGATATATTGACCTAAGAATCTGAACAATTTACCTTTCAGCAAACTAAATGCAAAATGGGGGCAGAAAGGCCTCGGAGCGCTCCGCAAAGGGGCTGAGAAGAGACGAAGGAGAAGGGGTGGACCGGCAACGAAAGGTGGGCGCGTGCCTACACCACCACTCCCTCTCAAACGGTCATCACAACCGTTCGGGCGCGGGGGACCGCCACACACGAAAGGGCCTGGGGGACAGAGTATGGGGCCCCCAAACAGGCCAAGAGAGGACACAGGCCTCCCTCTGCAGTCAGGTCCCACGTCCGCCCCACCCCTTCCCGAGGGGCGAACCGGAAAATCTGTTCGCTACAGCTCCCCCAAATCCTACCCCGGTGCCACTCTCCCAACCGCCATGTCCGGATGAATGGAGGAAATCGGCAGGCTTTCACTCACCGGTCCCGACACCCGCACGCTCTCGGGAGGAGCAGAGCTCTCGGACCTCCAACCGCCACGACCGTCAGAGGCACTGCTCTGGATGCCGCTCCTCCCCCGCCAGACAGCAGCGGGCGGGCAGCGACTGCGGCGGCGGAAGTGACGGAAGCGTCAGCTGGAGACGCCCCCTAGATGTGGCGGGGGTGGCAGCTGCTCTAGACAAATCGGGGTGGGTCTGAAAGCTTTATTTCATTTTAAATGCTGAAATCGTCAAGGATACAGAAGAGGACAGCGAGAAATGTAACCAACAGCCAGCTTTAACAAATGTTAACCATTTAGCCATATCCCCTTCTGTTCTGGATGTGAGTGTATGTGTACGTGTGTTTTTAATAAAATGAAACCTGCAAATTCTTTCTGATTAATTCCAATGTGAAAGTAATTATATTAATATATCGTATCCTATGTTATATATTATGGTTTGTACTGGAAGTATGAAAAACGTGAAATAGCATTTAGGGTTGCAGTAAACTTAAATTTTTAACCTGGTAGATGAAGCAAATTGAACTGTTTACAGAAGAATTTGTTGCCCTTAATCTCAAAACCAAGCTTCTCTATCCAAAAGAAATCATAAATCCTCAAGCACAACACAGGTTTACATTCTGGTAATTGCATCGCAGTTTAAAAATATTATAGCTATGCCTTTTGGATTTATACAATTTTACTGAACTCTGAACTTTTTTTAAATTGTACTTTACAATCTATCTCTAATATTTGTAACAGATGGACACTTGCTATATTGACAACAATAGCAAAATTTTGTTCTTACTGGAAATAAAACACGTAATAGAAAAACAAGATATTTTGGGAGTAACAACAGAATAGAAATAAGATGTGTATAACTTTCAAACCATTAAAGAAGTAATAGGTAGAGCAAAGAAAAAAAAACTCAGTCTAACAAAGGGCAGAAATGGGGTGACAGGCAACAAGAAAGGATTTAAAAAAAAAACGATGGCGGAAGGCAAGAATAAACCCAAATATATCACTGTGTATTATGGGTTAACATCTCCCATAAAAAAGCAAACTCTCATTTTGAGCATTTCATTTTCAGAAATCCAGTTATATGTTGTTTATATAAATTTTACCTAAAGCGAAAATAGAAATAGAAAATATATGCCACTTAAATACTGGCAGAAAGGAAGGAGGTAAGCAAGGCAAAAAGGGAGGGAAGGCAGGAGGGAAGGCGGGACGGAAGGGAAGGAAGGAATTTTAAAAGGAAAGAAAGAGAAAGGAAAAAGGAAGAAAGAAAAAAAGGGAAGAAATAGATGTAGTGATGTTAATATCAAAAAAAATCAAGAACTCAAAGTAAAAAACATTAAAGAGAACAAAATAGGTTTTTTCATTCACCAAGAAAATATAGTTGCTAAAATTTATATGCCAAACTATATAATTTCAATATATATTATGCAAATATTATTAGGAATAGAAAGAAAGATCACAAAGTCTGCAATTATAGCAGGACACTTAACCGCACTTGTTACCGTATAGATAGATCAAATAGACTAATAAAATTAAGATATAGAGAGATTGAACAACACAATTAATACACCTGATGTAATGTATATGTATTTTTGTACTCAAGAAAGGATGCGTTTTTTATTAAAAACTATTTCAAAAATGTCAAACATACAGAAAAGTAGAGCATAAAATATACATTTGCATGTGCCTGTCACGTAGATTGAGCAAATTTTACTTTTTTCAGATCTTCCAATCCTTCTGTTTTTGAAACAAAATATTATAGTCGAAAACCTCAGTTTATCCTATCTATCTTACTTCTTTCCCCAAAAGAAACACCATTTAGAAGTTTCCTTCTTGTCCATGTTTGCTTTTTTCTACATATGTATATCTGTAACCAATCCACATTATTGATTTATGTATTTTGAAATCTGTAGATGTTATCATAATAAATATATCCTTTTGCAGGTTAAATTTTCACTTACATTTTGTAAATTCAGCAATTTTGTATATTTAGATCTAGGTAATGCATTTTAACTGCTGAATACTATTGTATCAATTTTCTCGTATGATATTACTCTAATATATTATTGTGTGGACTTCTGTTGCATAAATTATC